CTACTGAAGAAGCAAGCCATTCGTCAGTCACTCCTGTTCCTTGTAGGGGCTTGTACAGACAAATTCCTCCAAAGCATAACTTACTAGCAACATTAATATCAGGCCATGCAAGCTGTGTGTCAGTATATCGATCCTGTTGCCTTCTAGACTTCCATCGAGCTCTATAATCCACCTCATCCCTTGTGCATCCACACTGCCTTGCATAGGTGGTACCGAACTTCCGAATGGAGTGAGTACCAAGCTTCCCTTCTGAAAGAGGTCTTTCAGGAACAAAGACAGGATTCCTAAAGGCATGGCGCTTGATGAAATTAGAGTATGCAGCCTTCCCCTTATTAACCTCTTTTGCAACATCCTTTTGTGGCGATCTACTATCTGTAGTTCCTTCAGTGAATAACCATTGGCTTCCTGCTCCATCGCCGCCTTTGCACCACTTTTCAAGATACAAAGCAAGACCAAGTACTACACACGCCTTATGGTCCATCGATCCTAACAAGAGCTGTTTGGGACAGTCCCTCTCTTCTCTCACATTCTTAGACCACTTCATCTTTGCTGTAAGAAATTGTGGAAACTCCGCAGATCTTTCCAAGCTGTCCTTTCCAACGTGTGCTGTATCATCATTCCGGCCAATCAGATGAAACTGAAACTTAATCATCGCAAGATATCGAAGTCTTTTAATTAGATGTCMATGGTTCCCCATTAGTTCAAGTGTTTGCAAGAACTCATCCTTTGTAAGAGGTCGATCCATCTTGCTTGCCTGGCCAAGCCCCMTGGTTTCCTTCTTTATAACAGCAGATATCAAATCGTTCACTTGCTGGGACTTAGTAGGATTTCCACTGCCAACACCGGCAATTACAGTCCACTTGTGCAGCTTGTTTGGCATGAAATACRATAAGGCTTTCTTGTAGTAAACAAGCGATGAACTCCTTCCCTCAGTAGGATTATCATCGACACCAGGATCCTCCCGACCATAGACTTTCTTTGCAAAGAACCTGTAGATATGATCTGGTGTTAGGAGACTCAGCTGCTCTGCTGTGAATAAAGTATCATTCGCAAATCGATTATCGCCGTTGGGTCCTCCTTCATCCACTCTTTGGTGTACATGATCCATTAACTCAAGCAGAACCTTATGGTATCTTCCCCATTGGCCTGGCTGGTTCACATCACGTGGAGGCGTTACAGTCCCCCCCCTTCTTTTCCGAGCTCGGGGCCGACCAGTGCGTTCTTGCGCTTGTGCTGTTACCATTACTACTACTACTAGTAATAGGAGCAGTACTACGTAGTAATACGGCTGCTGGTGTTTTGGGGTTTTGCTTGAACCGGTACTCGTATGCGATACTCGTATGCGATACTCGTATACTCGTATGCCAGTGTCGCTGTTATTTTGTGAGCAAAAAATGCACCTCTCGTGAGTCAGGGGGCTGTGTTGTGGTGCTGCTGTTTTTCGATACTGCTGCAGCTGCTGTGCTGTGCTGTGTTCGATACTTACAGTATTCTTTGTTGCTTGTTCTTCTTCTTGCTTGTTGGGGTTTTGCTTGAACCGGTACTCGCATGCGAGTGAGCGTTGGTTTCTTATTTTGTGAGCAAAAAAATGCACCTCTCGTGACGCTGAAAATGCACCTCTCGTGACAAGGCAAAGGAGTTGCAAAATGGTTGCATACTCAGTGTAATTTGCTCTGTGTTAGGCAACCAAAAGAGGTGCGGATGCAACCACAGCAGAAAAGCTGATACGGTTGCACAGTAGAAATCCTACCAGAATTTATGTAGAACATGTAAGTACGGTGGTAAATGGAGTGGGATCAGTTGGGGTATTATAGCCTACGTAGAAATGTACGTATTTTAAGTACCGATAGACCCCTTCGACCGTTTTGCAATATGTACCGTAATCGTTGTAGTACACATCATCCTTGGCCATTCAAGGACAGATGGCGACATTTTTTTAGTCCCTCAAGATACCAGGTACTAGTAGGTACGTAGAGTACGGTAGTAGTGTTAGGGAGGGGCAAGATTTTGTGGATTATTTTTCTTCTGAAATAACCTGTTTGTGTCAATAACCCAAGGAATTTTTAAACAACCCAGCACAAATAAGAATCCATCCTTGTTGGTTTGTGTGTTAGTAGTAACCCACAAATAGTAATGATCCGCAAACCTTGTTTAGTACAACCTTTTTTGGCTCCCCCAAAAAAACTACTAGTAGTAGAAGTAATTACTAGTAGTGCTTGACAAACAACCTTCTTGTTCTTGGTGTTCTTCTTGTTGTCCTTTAAAACAAATAATGAAGATTATATTTGGTAACATCCTTGGTTCTCCCTTGACCAGAAGGACTCTTACTGTTTTGTGAGCAACTCATGGGTTGTTATGTTCTTGTGAGTTCATGGTGTACTAATAAATCACCCACAGTGCTATCTCCTAGTAGTAGAGGTGGACCTCCTCCTACTACTAGTAGTATAATAGTCATGCAGTACAACCTTGAAAGCAACCACACAATTGATGCTCTACAAATGAAAAATGTAATCATAGTGTGCTGCTGCTGCTGCTGCTGCTGCTGCTGCTGCTAGCACTAGTAGTAGTAGAGCACCAGATCACCCACATAGCAGTTGTGGTTCTTTGTAGGAAAGGTCTGGGGGGGATGATCAGGGTTGTTGTTGCTGCTGCTGCTGCTGCTGCTGCTGCTGCTGTTGTTGTCCAGAACAAATGGTAGAAACAACAACTTCAATGAACAGAAGATACTTCTGGAGGAACAGGGGAGTATGAATCCAGCTGAGGCAAACTACTATCAGCTGGGGGGGAAGAGGGAGGAATGATACTGGTCTTCTCAGCACCAGCTGTTTGGTCAGATTGTGTGAGTTTGTGCCTTTGAAAGAAATGTTTTGAAAGTTATAAGAAAGAGAGAAAAGGAATGGTAGGAATACTTCAAACAAAAGGAGGCATTTAATTTTATGCTGATAGTATGGGACAGGATGAGGGACGTTGTCCCAATTCAAATGTATGAAATAAAAATCAAGAAAAAAGAGTTTAATTACTAGTAAATGTGTAGAAATTTTATGGAAGAAACAACCTATTTTGCTGTTCAGAATGGGTTGTCTTTTGACTGCTGAACGATTGACCAATTACTACTAGCTGCTAGCCACCCTCAAACTAGGAGAGAGGGGTGTTGCCTGAATAGTAAAGAGGAGGTTCATTCCAAACAACTTGACTGTTGTTGGAACAAACAGTAGTAGCAAAGGGATAGTAATAGGTTGCTAGCCAGCACACCAATTGAGCCAAGGCACCCAGTTTGTTCCCCAAAAATAGTGGAATAGTATATTGTGAGCCAGCAGTTTTTTGTGACTTTTTTTGTAAAGTCCAGGGAATCTCAGAAACACATATACTAGTACTGAATGTCAAAGCTGGGATATATTTCACAAAAGAGAATGCAAGAAGAAGATACTAAGATAAACAAGAAAGCAGCCTTGAGGAAAGCTGACTACAAAAAGATGTTATGTTCCAATTTTGTCTCACAACAGAGTCTGCTTCTTGTGGGTGCCAGCCACTCATTGCAGCAACAATCTGTATTCTTCTTCTTTTGTCCTGCCTCCACCAAACCTTCCTCATTTGCAATGACCCTTTCACTGCTAGAAGAGCCAATAATACTACTAGAAGTTGTTGTTAATAGTAGCAGAGCTTAGTAGTTTTCAATTTTGAGGTGTTGCTACCACCAGTAGTAGTACTAATATCAGCTCCAGAAGCAACAAGTTTGAAGGTCACCCCTTGTAATATTTTTTCACCAGCCAAAGATTCTTTCATTAAGAACTCATCATCACATGCAACAAGGCTAGTTGCAATTATGTAGCAGGAATGCACCACTCTGTCAAGCAACCAGAAGAAAATAAGAAGATACCATCTGTTTGTGCAAAGTGATGTTGAATACTTTGCAGAATCCTTGTCTGCGATGTCAACACTTTGTTGAATTTGTCTTTTGTACTTGAGGAGCATCAAATTTCTTTGTTGTTCTTTGCTCTGTCATACTAGATCTTCTCTTTGTCTGCACTTTCTTACCAGCAGTAACATCCACTATATTGTAGCTATCGTATAGGCTGGGCCAAGCAAAAAAGACGCACCAGTCGTACATTAGCAATTCAATATATACATAAACGTATATCAGTGAATATTCGTCGTACGCCGTACTCCCCCACGCCATTAGAAAGCTCTTTGAATTCTCTTTTCAACCATGTGGCTGTTCGAGTGAGTTGAACCTCTCTTAATGTGCGTGGATTTTGGGCCATCTAATTACCGTGTAATGACTCGTGGGATTAAAAATTTGACTTGTACCAGGGCTATAGCGTGTTTGTGCGCGCGAAACTATTTTGCACGTGCAAGCAAAACTATTTTGGTGGGATTCAAAAATTTCTTGGTCGTGACTCCTGGGATTAAAAATTTGCATGTGCACGCGAAACAATTTTGCACGTGCGCGAAAGTTAAATTTTTAATCCCACGAGTCATTACACGGTAATTAGATGGCCCGTAATCTACGACTGGGACCGTACATTAGCTGGCCAACTCTATACGATAGTAGTAGGCTTGGTTACTCAAAAAAATACAATTCAGTGGTACATTAGAAATCCTATATATATATATATATATATATATATATATAT